GTCTGTGTTTATTGTAAAGTCCCATAAAATTGTTACCAGTTCTATCTCCGTAAACGGGTCTGGGTGGTGTTCATACTAATTTATTGCAGTTTCCTTTCTGTAAGTGTTGCAGATTTTCTAGTGCAGATATTATCCCACTCTGTCATGCCGTGTTTTATATTCAGTGGGTGCCAATACCGTGCAACCTGATACAAGATGGTCAATTATTTCTGGAAATTTAACACAAAATCTGCATTTTGGACTAACACTTTTTTTAAAATATGTGTGCTTTTAGCTAACAAGCATTGTTCAGGTGCCGTAAGAATAAAAGCTTCGTTTTCAGCTTTTAAACCTGTACTACGTAGCCACTGATGGGTACGGGATTAACTTACATCAGCTTATTTGATAGAGGCAGAGTATTGACCGCGAATCGGTTTATTTTACTATCGTTTCTGTATCTGGCGAGATAAACCGCTTCACTGTCAATACTGTTTGTTGTGGATTCCGGGTTGAAATTCGGTACCAATAAATGACAAACGCCAGGAATGAATATATGAAAATAATGTATTAATATAATAATACAAACTGGTAAAGCAGGTTAGTAGTTCCAGGAGTACGGGTTAGTAGCAAAATATATATACAGTCTTTGGTATTGAAGTATCGCTGTATGACTTCTTACTGCGTCTACGTGCTCGATGACTGTGACTCCTACAACGCTGTTACCTCACCCACACTCTTTTACTCTGTCACTCTGGACTCGGCTCGACTCCTTGGTCTTGCTCTCGTCTTGCTCTTGCAGTAGCATATGTATATACTGGGTAAGTTCATTTGTATAAAATGGGGTGGACCCCTCAACACCACCACTACTACTACTACTACTATTACTTCTACTACTATTGTTATTATTATTATTTTATTTTTTTATAGCCATATTAAATATTTCAGTAATATTATTTACATTACATACACGCGGAACATTGTCTCCACCTTTGTTATTGTTTTCAAAACGTTTTGTTGGCCGCTCCGTTTTCCGTCATGTAATTGAATATCCATGCAACCTTCAGGTGATTTCACAATGGTTATTTTATTTAATCTCCAGGGGTGTTTTTTTTTTCTCCTTTCGTTGTCTGTCTCGAGTGATATCTAGTTTAGTTCTTATTTACCAGTGCTCAGTTACTGCCACCTTGTCCAAGAAGTTACTGCCCGTTTCAATGATTAAACTTGAACTCCCAATTACTATATATCCAAATTCACATACCAAAGCTTTTATCCAGTAGTTTATTCTCATGGGGGGGGGCGGCAATTCTGGGTGATGGCTCAACGACTGTAGTAAAATGTATCAAGCTGAAGTAGCACTCAACAGCCTACAGGTTAGGTTTAAGGCTCCAAGTTCTCCACTTAGAATTGTCCCACAATAAAGATATTTACAATAGCCCGCTTGTAGATAATGATAACTCCTGATCCCAGAAACTCAGGCAAATTATTTCAATGATATATCGCAATGATAAGTGTTGAGGGGTCCACCCCTTTTTATACAAATGGACTCACCCAGTTTATACTTATACTACTGCCAGTGAATACCCGAGGAACAGAATCGAGTCGAGTCTAGCGTGACAGAGTAAAAGGTTGTAGGTAACCGGAAGAGTGAGGGTGAAGTAACAGCGTTGTAGGAGTCACAGTGAGCGAGCACGTAAACTCAGTAAGATGTCATACAGCAATACTTCAATACCAAAGACTATATATATATATATATATATATATATATTGCTACTAACCCGTATTCCTTTGAACTACTAACCTGCTTTACCAGTTTGTATTATTACTTAATACATTATTTTCATATATTCATTCCTGGCGTTTGTTATTTATTGGTACCGGATTTCAATCCGGAATCCACAAAAATAAGGTATATTTCATTGTTTATTTTTTGTCCAAATATCATTTTAATATCGTATGGGTTAATCTATATCAAAAGTCGTTTTATATATACCGTAAACAAAAGTTTATGAAGTTTACTGGTATCTTGAGTAGTTGAATCCTTATATAACGCCATATAATATTCACTGGTATCATCGGAATTTTAATCCTTATATAATGCTATATAATATTCAACGCTATCTTCTGTAGTTGAATATTTATATAACACCATATAATATTCCCTGTTATGTACGGTAGTTTAATCCTTATATAATATCTTATAATATTCACTGCTATCTTCGGTGGTTGAATCCTTATGTAATGCCATATAATTCGAGATGTCATTTGAATTACCATATAAGTTGACTTATGGTTTTATAAGCTAAATTATTTTAAAAGTACAACGAATATCACTCATTGATCTTCTGCAGTAAATTCCGAAATATAATAACAAAGATTGTCGCATACAGTTGTATTTTGAGCTGACGCCAGGGCAACGCTCAATAGGCAGCTCGAAATTATGTTTTAAGTATGTCTGTAAAAACGATTTGCAATCCACAAAAATTGATCCGTATAAGTGAGAGCAACTTTGGAGTTACCGCTGCCAACTGGGGACAAGTCATTCGAGATGGACGAGCAATAACGGTCAGATGGAGCATAGAAGATTACACAAATCGCCAAAACGGCGGGATCAAATTCAGGCCTATTCACACACCTGTTTTCGTAAGCATTGGAGGAGTTCGATTCAAGAATCGCATTACAGTTATTCTCAGCGGAACTGATCCAAACCAACCACATCGCGCTATCATTGTCTTACGTGATACTTGGTCGCCAAGAAACAATACCGATAAAAAACATTTAACGTTTCTCATGTTTTCATTACTACAAATAAAAGTGGAAAATAATAACACGGAAATAGGTTTTCTTTTTTATATGAACAGATTAAAAAAATACTTAGACAGAAAGAAGTGGAGAAGTAATTTGAAACATATAATCTTCACGCGCATAGTGTTGAAGAAAAACATGAAGACTTAGTAAAGCGTTAAGCACCGCATTCCTCCCTCTTGCTGAAAATAGGTGTATATGTCAGAATGCTAAAGCCAAAACCTAACATTTACATGTAAATAAAAATATAGGTTGCACAAGTGATAATAAATATTTATATATAAGGAAAAATAATAATTTGTACTTAGCATAAAAAGAAAAACAAAAAAAATATTATTCCTGGAGAGAGTATTTTATAAATTATATATATATATATATATATATATATATATATATTAAGACACGTTATTTATGAATCTAATGTGTTTCTAATACATAAAAAGCAATGAAGATATATACAAAATACGCACGAGATATGCTTTAGTATATATATATATATATATATATATATATATATATATATATATATATATGATACTGCCTTAGGATTAAGGAAAAATAATGTCGTTTCATAACACCGGTTACCTCCAGTGCTCAGTAGGGGGTGTTATTGGCTCCATCTGTTTTCGTTCATATTTGTATCAAAATAGCTGATTTTTTTTAATAAAGGAAATATAACTTCTGCTTATGTGTGGAAATATTTTAAGTAAGTGTTCAGTTTTTCTTTTTCTCTCTGTTGCCAGAGAAATATCATTGGAACTTAACCGGAATGATCTGTGAATGTAAAATATAAAAATATAACAGATAACATCCGTCTGATTTTCTACTATAAAAACAATCTGTAAAGCTATTTTGAGGTATAAATATTAATTTAAAGACGTTATAGAATTACATTTTTCTAAACTGAGCATTACTCGATGCGGAACCTCATCACTTAACTGTATACTCTCCATGATTGTATTTAATAAATTCAAGTGATTATATTAAGGGTGTTTCATTAAGACGGATCAAAATCAGCACTAAATAAATCAGTGGTATACGTAAAAAAAATATTTATTTCTTTATTGGACTATATTATTGAAGTCATGGCAATTCTGTGTGAAAAATAATATCGCCCAAATGTGCGTCAAATCTGATAGAAATTGAAAAAATTTTAATTCACATTTAAAATCGCTCCAAGTTATTGGAACACCCTAATATAAAGCAGACATCAAGCCAATCTCCAAATAGATAAGCTATTCCTATCTAGAAGATCAGCGTTCGAAAGTGTAGCTTTCGAATTATCTTGAACATCAGCGCCTTTTCAACCACTGAGCATGTTTGAACCAATGCTCGTGTCTTCTAAATTACGATTTGCTTGACAATGCAATCAGAGCCCCATCAACATCTTCGCCGTTGGCTTACCGGATTTGCCTCTGTAATATATTTTCCTAGGGTGTAGTATTAAACTTATACGGTACTTCGACGTGGAGTAATGATTTGAAAGCTTGTCTCACTAGATCAATTACAACTGAGTAGTAAGTTCGATCGTCACTGTGTGCTCTGCGCTTTCGACAATGTGGCACATCTAAAATACGCTTGAAAAACCACGCGGGCACTGCGACGCGGCGTAATGGATAGCAAGCTTGGCTCGCTAGATCAAGTGCAACTGAGTAGCGAGTTCAATACTCAGTCGGTGCTTCACAATTACAGTCTTTTGCTAGGCTTAGAAAATTATTCGTGCACTTACACGTGGTGTAATGGTAATCTATTACAACTGAGTAGTGGGTTCGATCCTCACTGGGTGCTCCACTTCTAAGATAAGATAGAAGGAATGACTTTTAACCGTAAGAAGACAGAATGCATGGGTGTTAGCAAATGAGATAGACCTGAGATGAGCTATATTTTGAGGACGCCAAAAACAAGTAGTTAAAGAAAATTAACTGTGTTGTATATTTACAGATGACTGACATAGATACCAAGAGGATGCAGAGTGATTGTGGGCTTAAAATAATAAAGATTTTAAATAACAAGATATGAAAAAAGAATCTAGTCGACTGATAGAGGTATTAAGCAAGAGGGTTTTCCTTCACTAGATTTGTTATCTATCTATCTATCTATCTATCACCACTTAATCATATATATATATATATATATATATATATATATATAACTGTCTAATCATATCTATCTATCTATCTATCTATCTATCTATCCCAATCTAATCATATCTATCCAAGTCTAATCACTATCTATCTATCTATCTATCTATCTATCTATCTATCTATCAGAAAACATATGAAAACGGCCAAGGGAAGCCAAGTTACAGCGTTGTAAAATTGACTGAATCCGAGATGCCATGCCAGGACCGATTAAATTGCCGATAATTCTTTGGATTTTGGAAGGAAACTCTAGTCACATAACAGAAGCACCAGGACAGATTTGACAAAAATATTCAACGCGCGGACCAATTTAAATGTGCAAAATATCTTCCCACGAGAACAAATAATGGTTTCCTACGACACAATGAAGGTATTTTCCTAGCAGCAGACTTAGCAATTGGCTTACAGCGATATAACATAGAAACACCGGTTCCCGTTCGATCATCGAAGTTAAGCAACGTCGATCCTGGTCAGTAACTAGATGAAATACCGCTTGTGAATAGCAGGTGTTTATTTGAGTGGAGCTTTACGAAATAAAAAGCATTTAATAGGGAAAATATGAACACTGTTTGACGCCCATTTCTATTGACTTTGCCATTCACCACGACTATTTTTATGACGCTAAATAATAGCTGGTCAAATCATATTTACACGAAGCTTAAATTGGTAAACACGTATCGAAGTTTAGTCATTGACGTTCAAGCATTACCCCTTTCAACATCTCCAACTAGTGTCACCTGGGTTACATTAGATAAAAGCATGGTGAAGGTTGCATGGTCCTAATGAATTACGTTATTTGCTATGAAAATGTCTATCGATCCCGGGTTCACTTACATATTGCAGCATTGTCCTGTTGAAAGATATAGGCATTTACAAATAAGCGAGGGTCATCCGTACATAGGGATGCTTTAGCCAACATTCAAAGGTATTGTTCATTGAAAGGAGATAGCACCCCATATTATGATGAAACATCCTCCGGTGTGTTGTAATGTCTCCGCTGAGATATTCTTATTTGACGGTAACGTTGGAAGACACCTGGACTGTTGTGATGAGATAACCCAACTTCCCCATTCACGATAATGGACGGACTGGTTGCCGATTAAGTACGACCACCACGGACAGTGAGAGAAAAAGGTCTTCGTTTGTTAACACCTATTGAGGTTAGCTTACTTCTGACTCTGTCTCTGTATTTTGACATAGCTACATCCGATTATAAAATTATTATTGAAAAACCAACACTCGGGTTTACTTTGTTATTATATCTTGCACGAGATATAACATGGACCATTAAGATTAAATCCTGTCAGAAACAAAATCTTCTTCCACGATTTAGATCGCCCGTGTTTGACGCTTTTCTGCAATGTTTACCAGAACTGTTTTATGATTTGGATGGAGGTGTGAAATTTGAAAAAGTTGTTGTTTTTTTTTTGTTTTTGTTTTTCTAGTCTTTCTCTCAGAGTTGAGCTGCATTTTGCGTTCGTAAGAGTCTTAATTTGTTTCGATGATTTGCTGATGTCTTTCCGGATAACCCACTGAATCCTACTCAACGCCGACGAAATTTTCTTGTGCCAACCTCTTGAAATTCTCGTTTGGAAAAGTAGT